TAACTTTGGTACAGTTAGAAGGCGCATTCAAGGAATGCGACGATATGTTTGACAAGTTGAAGTTGGAGATGATGTTTATACTAGAGAGCATACTGAGGTCTTATCGCAAGAAGATGTCGATTAACGTCTTTCATTTGGAGGTTGTTGATGAGATTGACACATTCAACAATTATCCATGGGGATAAAGCTAACAGTTATCAGCTCTCTTCGACGATCCTGAAATACATATTATTCATTTGTCATTTATGTTGTACGTCATTTCGAAATCTCGATGCATGGTTATTAACATGGAGAAATGTTAATATGTCAACTTGAAGTGCTCGCTGAGCTGACACCGTTAATCGAGGAGGAGGGTCAGAGTCATATCCGAAGAGATAATCCGATCCAAAATTAAAAAAATAGAAAAAACAAATATTTTATTTATTTTTCATTGAAAATCATAGCCTCAACAAGATTTAATTATTTGTTTATTTTAAAAATATTTAAACTATCTTAATGGGCTCACTTATTATATTAGAAGGCCAAAATCAAATTTTTTTTTTTATCGAAGTGATGCTCCTTTAACCCCTTTTTAAAGTAGACTCATTTTGGAATGTTTTAGTGATATCGGATCGGATTGACCTATATCCAAATTTGATTCATTTAGTTAACAGATTATCGAATTTGAATCTCGTTTGGGTTATTGGATTCGAATCTCGATTGGATTATCAGATTAAGACCCTAAATCCATCTCCAATTAATTTCATCGGATTTGGATCAAAATCCAATCCATTGACCTCCCTAATTGAAGCACATTGAATTTTTAGCATCGGACGTGACGTAGAGCTGATAAACCAAACACACATTAAAATGCAAGCGGTCTTTTATGTACATTGTGATCGTAGTTGTAATAATTTCAAATGTAAGCATTTTTTTAAAATGTTTGTAATACTTTAGTTTTTATGTAATTGTATAATAAATAACTAATTACTCTTAATTACATATATAACACACTCACTATAAATAAAGAAAGTTGAGGAAATCAATAACATAATATAGATAGAGAGTATATACGATTTAAATAGATATTACATATTCGTCGGGTTAAGTAAAGAGTAACACACTATAATCGGGAACTTCCCACTTGACTTCGTTTGGTAGAAGAAATATAGTTTCGACATTCTTGAATAATGTTTGATGTATTGAAAATGTGACCGTGCTTAAAGTTCGACTTCCATCTCTATTAGATATTCTCATACACCGTGTGATTTATGTACTAATTAAATATTAAATAAATAATATAAATAACCAATCAAGATAATTAATTAATGAGATATTTGAAGAATAAATTAAATTAAATATTAATTTTCTATTCGAATAAGTGATTAAATAAATAATTAAATTAAGTAATGAAATATTAAATAAATAATATACATAATAAAATAAGATAATTAATTAATGAAATATTTAAAGAATAAATTAAATTAAATATTAATTTTTTATTTGAGTAAGTGTTTAAAATAAATAATTAAATATACACAACCAATTAAGTAATTAATAAAAAAATATTTAAACGAGAAATCAAATTAAATATTGGATAATTCTACATGTACTAATTCATAATGATGTCCAGTGATCGCTTGTGAAATTTTCTCTGTGACTTCGCAAAACGCATAGAGTTTTCGTTATTTTTAATGGAATGTCACAATTTAGTGATACTTTGATAGGACGGTTCGCTAAATGCCAAGGCACCACCTCGACGGGTGTCCACACGTGATGGGCCACCCGTCGAGGTGACCCTCCCTTATAGGACGATTGCTCCACATGGACGGTGCAACTGTCTTACCGTAGTATTTCTCCACAATTTAAGTGTTGAAGAAATGGTAATGGAGTTCCTAATTGTTAGCATGAATTAGTGTGATTACTCTGAATTAGAGTTGAGTGGCCCGATTGCAAATAAGGGTGGTAAATTTGCCCATATCTGTGCGTGTGTGTGTGTATATATATATATATAATTCAGACACGTATTTAAACTTGATAAAATATAAACATAATATCTTGAGAAAGGTAACCTTTTTCAAAGGTACGCGATCATTTGACTAAATTCTCGTTTGACCCTCATTAAATTAAATTTTATTTTCTCTCATATTTTCAATCACATAATTTTTCATTAAACAATATTACACTTAATTGAAAACTTTTCATTCATTTTCAACCACTCACTTTTCCAAAAATATACTATTTCACCCATTTTATTTTTTTTGGAAATCCCGGTACTTAACAGTCTAGACCAATCTTCACTTATTTACATATTTAGTAGTGGATCAATTTTTATGGAATTAAGTAGATCTTTAGCAAGATGTTTATTTTTCACTAGCATAAAAATTAAGGTTCACTGACATTAACCTTGCTTATTTCTTTATGGGTGACCACGCCTATTTTCCAAATTTAGTCGCATGTATATGTGCATAGAAAGTGAAGAAAAATATGTTACTACTTCATTTAATGATATGATAAAAAAAAAAAAAATTTCCTCGCTATTCAAGCTTATGGGCAAAGAACAACTGGCCACTATTTCGAACAGCTAGCACGGGACATGGATAAAAATAGATATGGGTACGAAGGAAGAAAATATAAACGTGCAGCTTCTTCGAATTATAAAACAAATAAAATCAGATATTGATCTCCATTGGCCATTAACAGCTTTCAAGACAACATGCCAGGAAGAGGCTTAATTATTTTCTCAAGCTCTGAAATATGCATAAAGCTAATGGTGATAAAAGAAAACTGGTCCTTCACTAAAAATGTCAAGAACAAAACAAAGGATTATCACTCATGCTAATTGTATTCCATGTTCCAGGAAAAAAATCACACAGTTTTCATTCCAAATTGGCAAAGATTCATAAACTAAAAATGCATATGAGTGCATATTTAGGCCTTCGACTTAGCTTTATAACAAACTCAAGAATTGATACCGTTATAGTCTTTTTTAAATCGCCGTCAACCTCTATTAAGACTCTCTCCAAAATAATGGTCTCCACAAAGATTGGCCAATGGTCCTTTGATAGCACACCTACAACAACGAACAAATACATAATGTATCCATTAGAATAAAAGTAATGATATTCATCACCACTGATGTTAAGTACCAGTCCAAGTGGCAAATTAAACGACAAATTCATTTAAATACAAAGTCACGTGACTCGTTTAATTGCAGGGAAAAATTTTGCACCTCAGCAACATTGTTAATAAGTGGGGATAGGCACCCCTGACTCTGCTGTTAGCTTTTTGAAAGCACTTTGCAATCTTCGAGTCACAGGTCCCACGCAGCCATCACCAACTATGCGACCATCAATCTTAACGACCTAGTAAAGTTCAGAACAATAGAAAAACATCACTACACCTGATGTTAACATTAAAACAATTAAAATAAAGTTTATGACCATTCTAAACAACTACAAAGGAATAAAAGAGAGCAAATAAATGATTTTAACATCATTGACAAAAAATGTACTTTTTTAAGGATCGAGTGGAAATACGTGCTCTCAGTTCAACCGAACTGCACCATTTGAAAAAATTCGTCTAAAGAAACAGCTTATAAAGAACCTAATAAGTTTGCTTTTTCATTTGGGTTATCTACTAGCAAGAAATAGTTTATTATTATTGGAGTTAAGTATAAAGAACCTGGAAAACTGAATAGAATCTTAATAAATACATGGAAAAAAGGATCTGGAGTCTTAGGAATTTTGTCTTGAAATTGTGTGAAATACATAAAAACAGAAAAAACCAAAAGAATTAAAGGGAATGAACCATGTTATTAAAGAAGTCCTTGGTTCAGGAAGTTAGAGACAAAGACTACTTGCTACCAGTACCAGACCATAATTTTTCAATATAAATGACTTACTGGGCTGAGCTCTCCAATAGTTCCTACAGTCCAAGCCTGCAGTAAAACAGTCAACATAATATGGCCAAAGAATCCAACTTCGAATGAGAAAAAAGTAGCAGCGAAAACCATCCATTATTTTGTTATTGAATGAAAAATCAGGCAAAACATGCTAATAATGGCCAAAGAATCCAAATTTGGATAGCACCCAATCAACAAGGATATCTTGCATATGCAACGAAAGGGATAAAAGCATACACAGAAACAGCATATTATGTGGGTCAATCACACACAAGATGACAAGAAAACTTGTGTTTCCTGCTAAAATATTAATCAGGAAGATGTTCAACGAAATTCTACAAATAATCAATGATAGTGTAATCAAAAAGCAATTTCTTCAACTAGTAAAGTAATGATACCAGAGTAGATTGATTCTTCTGCAGCATCAAAACATTAAAAAAAAAAAAATGAGTTTATGTCTTGACGATGCCAAAGATAGTTATGGTAAAGAAAGCAAACTGCCTAATTCACGTGCATTATCACTCAATATGTTGAAAGAATAAACTGGCACGAAAACACTTCAACAAACTCCTCAACAACATTAGCATCCAGATCAAGTGTAGTTGATTGATTCCTGGTGTATCACAGAGTGAAAGATGTTCTCTGAATTTTCGCAACAGTTTGATCCCTTTTGATATTGCTTCTCACTGAATAATTTTCTTTAGCATCAAGTCAAAGAAAGCAAACTGCCTAATTCACATGCATTATCAATCAATATGTTGAAGAATAAACTGGCACAAAAACACTTCAACAAACTCCTCAACAACATTAGCATCCAGATCAAGTGTAGTTGATTGATTCCTGGTGTATCACAGAGTGAAAGATGTTCTCTGAACTTTGGCAACAGTTTGATCCCTTTTTGATATTGCTTCTCACTGAATAATTTTCTTTAACATCAAGTCAAGTAGCTGACCCGTAGAACAGGAATGAGCACATCTTTCAGGACTTGCGAAAACATTTTTATCCTATATCAACAGAAATCTTGGCAAATAACAAAACAGACCTCATCTGCTGTATGGAACTCTGATAAACTGATACGCCGCTCTTGTAAAACCAACTCTTCTTTTATTACAAGGTCCATGACCTGCAAATACAGATATATGTCTTTCTTATAAAGCATAGAAGAGCCAATAAATTGTCAAAATAATCTTCAAATAAGCAGAATGTTAAATGTAATGCAAGCACTAACTTGCCCTTATGTACACAAGAAAATTAAAAAACGATTTATGAAAAGTTAAATTTATAAAATATTAAATAAAGTTGATCATTTGACAAGGTTGTCTTCATGTATCCAAAAAAGAGAGAACTAATTCTTGTATTTCCCATAACCAATTAAATTGATGCAGTTAGAAGATCCATTCAGGACTTGTTTGGCACAACTTTTGAGAAGCCAAAATGAGCTTTTGAGACCCAAAGCTGCTATTGGATCCGCTTGATTAAATTTATAAAAGTGTTTTTCCTAATTAGAATAGTTTTTAGAGAAAATTAGTCTAATATGACCTCCTCTAAAAACACTTTCGGAATGGGAAACTCTTTTAGAAATTAGTTTCCAAATAAAATTAAGGTAACTTCCTCAGGAAGCAAAGCCATGCCAATCGGGCTCTCACTCAACTAACATTTTCTCAGGATATTTTACCTCCATGCATGACATTCAAAAACAGGAGAACATAGTATTCCTTATTGGGTCTGACTAAGCTCGAGTAGCTGAAAACTGATGGAGAATAGGAATTATCCAGTATCATCTTTATCAATATTTTTAAGCACACATAAATCTTATTTTGTTCATGAAAAGGTGGGAAAAAGAGGACAAAAGAATTACATACTGCACCAATACGTATTAATTTTGGAAGAGTATATTATGATGAAGCTTACCGCTGCCCGTGTTATGCCAGGAAGACAGCAATCAGCATGAGGTGTTGCTACACGGCCCCTTTTCACTAGAAACTGTAGCACAAGGAGACAAAAATATTTGACACAAAATAGATGGTTTACATAACAAGATGTGGAATACCAATAATTTGGAGCCAGATTATCGACTGCCTAATGGTCCACGAGTAGTGGGATAATTCTATTTTGTTAAACGCAAGTTAATAGCAAAAGCAAAAGAAAACACGTAAAATGAAAATTTCAGAAGAAAAGGATCATGACTCGCAGTCCAGATCTTTCTATGACACCTCAAGGAAGAACACAAATGTGAATATATATTATTTGATTAACCATGTTTCTTAGGATAGATATAGTGACTGAATAGCAAAACATTCTTCCTTAGGACGTCATCAATGAAACCTTACCCCAATACTAGCTCTTTCTTAGGTAAAACCAAGTGCAAACCAAGGAGACTGTATATTTGTTAAAATAAATGATCTTACAATGTTTGTCGAATTTGTTTCTGACACATATCCATCTTTATCAAGCATGATAGCATCATCAGCATTCGCATTATTCCCTTCTATCTGCATTGACGCCAAAAGTAATTAGAGAATAAACACAACTCCCTAACTATTACAAGAGATTATGCATATAAAAATTCACTATAAGATTCTACTTGAGCAAGTAGATTGAACAATGTATACCTTGGCAAGAATGTTATTGAGAAGGTTGTTGTGGTGAATTTTTGAATCCAAATTCTGCAAAATAAGACCAAAATTTAGATCACATGGTTCTATAATTCATCATTGCATAAGTTTGCCAGAGAGATTTATGAATTAAAATCGAATAAAGAATGAGTTTCAACGACAATGTACATAGATTGGAAAATGTTGATGATGTGAAAATTTATATAATCATTACATTCATGACCTCATTCCGAGAGAATAAAATATTTTCTTGTTTAATGAACTGTTGGAAAACATTCTTCTGCTTAGTTTGTATAGTTAACTGAACCTAACCGAGTCCTTTAGATCATCATTTTTGTAATTTTTATGAGCATGAAACATTAGATTCAAATAACATAAGCATTGAAGACAGATGGGTAACGATGTACATTGGTTATAACGTGTATTAAACAATTTAGCAGTAGCAGATCAATTTAAATGTACCATACCAGTCAGATCTTGCATCTTACATTGAACAATTTAGATCTAAAACAATAGATTAAAAGAAAAGAGAAACGTAGATTTGCAAAGGTAATTCAAGCCGACCGTGCAAATCAAAAGAGCTGAAAATAAATAAATACACAAAAAGCCTCACATTTGGTGAATTACGGCGAGTGGTTGCTGTAAACAATGTTATACCCTTATCATTCTCATAGATTGGGGGCTTCCATTCAGCAAGCACTGCAAAGATACGAATAAAAACTAGCCTATATTCACCGAATTACAAATGTAGAATTTTCAAATAGAACAAAATTTATTTGTTCTTCTTTCATAACCCACAGCCAGAGCAGCACCAAAAAATTGAAAAACAATGGTTTTGCAATGTGAAATGTTGTAACATATCATATTTTCACAGCCAAAATACTGAAATTGTAAACATTCGGTGCCAGGTATTTTCTAAGCCCATATGGGCAATTTGCTGCCTTCGATGACTGAAATATGCTTTAACAAAAGAAAGATGCACGTTCTATAACTCATGGATCCCAAAAATAAAATATTACTCGAAGTAAACTATGAC